CAACCTATTTATCTATGTATCGATCTAATCTAATCTTTAATCTCTCTATCTATCTATCTAATTATCTATCTATGTATCTATCTATCTATCTATGTATCTATCTATGTACTATCTATCTATCTATCTAGCTATCTATCTATGTATCTATGCTATGTAATCTATCTATGTATCTATCTATGTATCTATCTATCTATCTATGTAATCTATCTATCTATCTATCTATCTCTGTATGTATCTATCTATCTATCTATCTATCTATCTATGTATCTATCTATCTATCTATCTATGTATCTATCTATCTATCTATCTATCTATGTATCTATCTATGTATCTATCTATCTATCTAAATCTAATACATGGCAAAATCATCGACCTGAGTGGGGGTAATTTTCCAGCAAGTCATGTGACTGATTGCCGGAGGGTAAAGCACCAAGTCTGAGGCAGCTGCAAAAAAAGCGCAAGTCACAACACACCAATCCAGATATTAGCGGGTTAAACACTGCATATCATCACACAAATCGGAACATCCCGAAAGAATCATCCAATCTATCCCCAATATCATTGAACTCGATCTCTTCCCAGTTTGGGATTGACAAGCGCTCCCCGGTTCCCAATTGATTTCTTTCACCCTCGTCCCAAAGTCCACATCCAGCATCAGCATACCACTTGTAACAGATTTTCATCGATCCAGAAAGTCCCATCAACAAGTGGCTATGTAGACACTGGAAAAAACAACTGGTGGTATACCTACCCCTCTGAAAAATGATGGGCTTCGTCAGTTGGGATGATTATTCCATTCCAAACTGAATGGAAAATCATAAAATTCCATGGTTCCAAACCACCAACCAGACAATATTGCATTGGTGATCAACCCCATTCACATATTTCTCCTTCCATCAGTTTCACTAGTTTCACCCGCAAACATCCCCATCCATGATCCAGAAGTGGGTCCGACCTCCACCTATCATACCCATCCATACAAATTGGACCTTACCCCTATCCATACAAAATTATATCCCAATCCTCCCCCCAAAAACCATCCAATCCATGAAAAAATGGCCAAATCCCAACATGTTCCATCCCGAACTCCCAACAAAAAACTATCCAAATCCACCCAAAAAATCAGCAACCCCATGAAATCCCACAAAATCCCATGAAATCCCAACCACCTTCTCTCCATTTCGACTCCTCTTCTCCGCCTCATCCGCTGTAAAGACCACCTTCCCCGTCGCCGCCCCCGGCGACGCCGGCAGTCCACGCGTTAGCCGCTGCCACCGATCCGTGGACGAGACGTCCAGCGTGGGGTGCAGCAGCTGGGTGATGAGCTCCGGTTTCAGGCGGAGCAGGGCAGAGCCCTTGGAGATCAAACCTGGTGGTAGATGAAGGGTGAATTACTTGGGGTGGTTACTAAACCATAAGTATAGTATAGCTGATGAAGCTTGGTGAAAGTTGGGGTTACTGACCATGACTAACTATAGCTGGTTGGTTGATGTTGGTTGTTTTTTGTGACTAAGTATAGTTGGTTGTTTGGGTTTGATAACTATAGTTGAGCCTTAGACATAACTGACTGTAGTTGGTTGGTTGGTTCCTGCTACGTTTTGGTTATGATGGCGATCTTAAATAATCAGAGGCTAGTTGGTTTTAGAAACTCAAGTAGACCTAGTATATGCCTACGGGTTGAAAACCGAACCAGCGTTTTGCATGTTTTTATGTCATTCATGGGGTTAACGGGGTGGGGTGAGGTGGGGTGGGGTGGGGTGGGGTAATAACGTTCATTTGCACTTCCTCACATACATGATGCTACGTTATTGTGTGTGGTGGGGTGGGGTAATAACGTTCATTGGCACTTCCTCACATATATGATGCTACGCTACTGTATGTCGTCTTGCACTTCCTCACATATATGATGCTACGCTACTGTATGTCGTCTTGCACTTCCTCACAGATATGATGCTACGCTACTGTATGTCGTCTTGCACTTCCTCACATACATGATGCTACGCTACTGTATGTCGTCTTGCACTTCCTCACAGATATGATGGTACGCTACTGTATGTCGTCTTGCACTTCCTCACATATATGATGCTACGCTACTGTATGTCGTCTTGCACTTCCTCACAGATATGATGCTACGCTACTGTATGTCGTCTTGCACTTCGTCACATATATGATGCTACGCTACTGTATGTCGTCTTGCACTTCCTCACATATATGATGCTACGCTACTGTATGTCGTCTTGCACTTCCTCACATATATGATGCTACGCTACTGTATGTCGTCTTGCACTTCCTCACATACATGATGCTACGCTACTGCATGTCGTCTTGCACTTCCTCACATATATGATGCTACGCTAGTGTATGTCGTCTTGCACTTCCTCATGAGAGATTTGTATCAAAACCTTGAGATGAGTTTTGAACGCAATGCACGCCAGGGATCTTGAGAGATGCACATGGAGACAAAAAGAGTGCATGGAACGCTTTTCCACCTGCTCTTGGCAGTGGAGATGGGAAAACAGTTCCTACAAAAACCTGTCCAAGCTCACTGCAGACATTGTCAAGAACACTTAGCGCAGAAAAAAAGAGACTGCCGCTGAGGTTTTTTTTACATTTCCAGTTAAAAGTACGCGCGTACTTTTTAAGGAAATTGAACTTTAAGGAAATTGAACTTTCAGGGAGATGCAAAACCACTGTGATTTGTGGTATAAAACCAATGACGAACACTGCAAACGTTGAAAACGCGGGTTCGATAAACAACCCGCCGGGTAGTTTATTGATGTGAGCGTCCTTAGGAGTTGGTTGGTGAGCTGACAAATTCGATGCAGAGATGATGAAACATGAGAAACAAATCAACTAATTTGAAATGAAAACGTGGTGAGATGTAAACCAATCATCTCTGAGGTGCTTTGGCAGCCTACATGGTGATTTCACACTGGAAAACTGAGACAGCGCCAACAGAAAGAAGGGGGCAACCAGTCAACTCATCGTAAAACCAGGCAGTTTGATTTGTCCAGAATAGATACTCAAATCGGGAGTCAAAACAGCGGCTTATCCGGAAGTATACAGTAGCAAGAACATAGATGGGAAATTACCCAGAACGTGGATAGTTGTTTCAATCTGAACAATCACGGATTTTACCAGATCAAAGCGGTTATTGGTGGTTTTTAACTGACAAAACTGAAATATCCTGGAATGCGTTTAGCATGTTTGAAGTATCCTCTTCTCTCTTGATCTCTTTTGATTCATAATTCGCTTAAACCTGTCATCAAATCACTAGGCCCATCCTTAGCGAGAAACCCTCCTGGGCCAAATCCACTGCGATCTGCACGGCAGCATGGGCGGTTCGTTTTCCAGTACGGGTCTGCAACATGTAGAGCTTGCCTTGTTGGATCGTGAATTCAATATCTTGCATGTCCTTGCAGGGCTGCAAAAAACCGAACATTGCACAAAAAGGGGATGACTTATCATAACTTATGATGTACACATATGTACACACACACATATTATATTAGTCATATATATTTCAAATAGCTAAATTGACTTCAAGAGAAAAACAAAAGTAAAGGAGTATGGGCATTTTTTCCTGCATGGTTGTCGATCTTATTCTCAATCGCATGGCCTTGGGGAAGTGGGGAAGACGCGTATTTTCACCCCTGAAAGATGATCATGGTTCCCGTCATGGCTGGTGAATCTTTCCATGAATTGCCGCTTAAAATGTCTTAATTTTGTACACATCCCACATTGATTGCTGTTCACGCCCTACCATCCTTACCAAGTGTGTTTCCGGAAATCCCAGCATCGTATGACGGGAAAATGTGCAAGACAACGGTAAAACTACAGGGAAACAACATGGTTTCCCACATAATTTTCCAATCATATTTTCACCAAACCCCAGAAAGATGAGTCAAATCTAAACTCTAGCGGTCAGTTCAACATTAAACCACCATTTATCCCCCAGTGAATCCACATGAACAAAGAGGGCGGTCCCAAACCACGGTAAGGAAAAAAACGAAACCACAACAAGAAAATCAAAAATCCACGGCAAGACAGAGGCCGTAACCACGGAAGACCCCTGGCCGTAACCACGACAAAGAAAAAATGCAACCAGGACAAGGTTAGGAAGTAAAGGTAGTCCCTTTGTTTAAATAAAGGGTCACCTTTGTTTCTATTGGGTCTCTAATCAGCTCAGCTTTTGACCAACAAAGGCACCTCTTTTAACTTTTAATGGGCTGCCTTTCTTTCTCTTTTCTGACAAACTCCGGCTTCTCTGGCTCCGGCCAGACAACGGGCCGCCTTTGTTCCCAGCTTCCAGCTACCTTTGGCCAAGCAAAGCGCCGCCTTTGTTCCAGCTTCCAACTACCTCCATAGCTACTATTTGCTCACCAGGCTGACGCAACATCCCTTTACTTTCGACAAAGGGATACCTTTGTTTTCATTGCTTCTCTAAACAATTCAGCTTTAGACCCACAAAAACGCCTCTTTTAACTTTTAAAGGGCCGCCTTTGTTTCTAGCTCCCAGCTACCTCCGGCCAGACAAAGGCCGCCTTTGCTTCTAGCTTCCAGCTACCTCCGGCCAGACAACGGGCCGTGTTTGTTTCTAGCTTCCAACTACCTCCGACGAAGCAAAGGCACAAACTGGGCACGGACCGCCTGGTTTAGCCTGCGTTGAAACTTGAACTTGTTCTTCAGTTTCTTCTAAAAAAGGCCCCTAGCGTTAGTTTTTTTTTTTTAAACCTTGAGACTGAATTCGACTTCCTGCCATAGCTATAGCTTGATTTTGTTTCCAGGTACAGCCATAATTTGATCTTGCCCCCAAAAAATAAGTTTGCAAGTTGTATAGGTACAGCCATAGCTTGATCTTGGTCTAGCTTTAGCTCGAACCTTGGCTTAGATTTTACTCAGCTATAACTCTGCCTGAAGTCTCTCCTTGCGCGGATTTTGCTGGCGCTGCTCTACCTACCTCCCACCCGACTATATACTATAGTTTTATATAGTGTAGTATAGTGTAGTATAGTGTCGTATCGTCCGTTAGGCAAACTGGCCGTGACCTTTTCTTCCCTCAATTTACATCATCTTCGCCTATAGGTCGCCATCATCATCATCATCATCATCATCATCATCATCATCATCAATCATCATCATCATCATCATCATCATGATCATGATGCATTGCCCAGACCGTAGCTGGCTTAAAGCGTGGGCTGCGGGGGGGAGAGGCGGTGCACGGAAGGGGCTGGCAAACTGAGAATTTTGCGCGTGGAAGTAATCCTCTGGTGCTTGAAATGTCTTTTTTGGTGAAAATGCAGGGCTCAAACAACACAAAGCAGGCGTTTGGGCCTGGTGTTTGCTAATCCGTTTTGTGGTGCTACAAATGTTTTTAAACGGGGCCGAAACTCTTAAGTTTGGTGTCAAAATTGTGGTTTTAGGGGCGAAAGATGTCAAGAATCAACAATTCAAAGCCCATGAGGATTTCAGCATCGCTTTAAACAAATCGGGCACCAGTCGGGCGGGAACCGGTCGGGAACCACTCGGACATGGACAAAAACTGAAATGATCTCAGCATGAGTGAATATGAGAGTGAGATGATCTGAGGGTGAGTTAAGATGAGAGCGAGTTGAGGTGAGGGCGAGATGACCTCACAAAAAAATGCCAACAACCCAGCAAAAACACCAGTTTTTTTGTATTTTTGAAATTTTGGAGCGGTTCCCGACGGGTTCTCGACTGGTTCCCGACGGGTTCCCTGCGGTTTCCCGACGAGTTCCCGACTGGTGCCCGACTAGTGCCCGATTTGCTAGAAAGCACCTTCAAGGAAGTGGCTCGGCGCGCAAGACATCAGTGCCTTTGCCTGGCCGGAGGCAGCTGGAAGCTAGAAACAAAGGCGGCCTTTGAGGCAGCTGGAAGCTAGCAAAGGCGGCCCTTTGTCTGGCCGGAGCTGGAAGCTATATCCCTTTATCGAAAGTAAAGGGACGACCTTTATTTCGTCACCTTGCCGTGATTGTATTTTTTTGCTTTGTCGCGCTTATGACCTAAGTCTTATCGTGGTTCTTTTTTCCCCTTGTCGTGGTTAGGGACTGCCTTACATGAACAAATGCCGTTTCTATGTTTTTTTGAACCGAACATTCCATGGTGACCAACTGACCCCCTCCTTGTAATGATCTTCCAGCTGCCGACACACGGCGCTAAGTTCCCGGAAGAGGTTGGGCATGGCCTGAAATGGGACGCGAAAAGGGACCCCCCGGTCATTGGAACAAGTGGCCGGAACATCACGTAATAAATTGTAATGGTTTGTACCATTGTGATATCAGAAACATCAAGGCTGAACATTGGATGGTTTGTATCATTGTGATTTTGAAGTGATTGCAATGTGGCAAGCCCACTGATAAACAATCCCCCAAATCATTATAAATGGATGGTGTGAGCCATCCCAAAATGGTAGGTTTATTTTTGGGTTGCCCGCATTAATACAACAAATGGATATCATGGGTTTATAATGGGAAATCCCCGAACTAGCCATGGAGGTTAAATTCGCTGGGGCAATGGCTGTTGGGTAAGTATCCCCATCATATCCACCAAAACAGGGTTGCTCCCAAGGCCCCAAATACAAGTAGGTAGATAAAGGGCTCAAATGACAATCTCCCTCCTTATGGATATCATGTACCTACAATAACATTGGAGCAAGCTTGCAACATATACCCATAAAAAGCCAATACTCATCAACCAACAGGGCTTCTCTTCACCAAAAAATCCAAACATCTTCAAAATCATTAACCATCCCCATAAACCATGATAAACCATGTATATATACCATATCTATCATATACCATCCCTATACCACACAAAACCATACTCTACATATATTGGTATATGCACATGCATACATACCTATCCTTTTAGATACCCTCTGTATCATGTGAATCCTCCCGCCGTCCTGGAGGCTCATATCATTTAGTGGATATTAAGTCTAGTAAGTCTTCATTGGGCTTATCCCATTTTTGGCTTTTGGCATCTTATCACTGTGCAAACCATTTACAATTCGTGGGGTGATCCTCCAAGCATTCCCCCATGGGTTCACCAACAGTTGGGATCAGTTCACCATCAACATGTGGGAACTGATTTTTCACCAATTCAACTTACGAATTTTAAAAGCCATCCAACTCTGAAAAAAACTCACCAAAAATTATCCCGGCAAGAGACCCCAAGCAGTGTGGGGGGAGTAAAGAGATCATGCATTATAATGTTGGTGATGATGTTAATGTTGCTGATGTTGTTGTTGTTGTTGATGATGATCATGATGATGATGGTGATGATGATGCTAATGATGATGATCATAGTAATGATGATGGTGGCGATGATGATGATGATGATGATGATGGTGCGATGGTGATGATGATGATGCTGATGGTGATGATGATGATGATGATGATGAGAGGAAGATGATGATGTGGATGTTGAGGAGGAGGATGAGGAGGAAGAGGAAGAAGATGAAGATGCCGAGGAGGAAGACCGATCCCAAGACCGGGAAGCACACTTCGCGCGAGCCTGCGCAGTCGAAATGTACACGGACAAAACACAAGAGTTATTATGTGTGGAAATTTAAATTTACAGGAAAAGTGCCGTACGCCAAGCCGGCGACACCCGTTTTGTGCGAGCCTGCGCAGTCGAAATACACATGGACATGTCAGAAGAAGCATTTTGTGCTGACATTTACAGAGAAAATGCCGGACGCTTCTCCCGGGGCCAGCTTTTTGTGCGAGCCTGAGCAGTCGAAATGCACATGGACACGTCAGAAGAAAGCATTTTGTGTGAGCCTGCGCAGTCGAAATGCACATGGATATGTCACAAGAAGCATTTTGTGCGGAAATTTGCAGGGAAAATGCCGAACGCTTCCGATACCACCGTGATTGATCACCGGGCCTTAACACCTATCATAAGAACTTCGGGGAAACATCAATATTTTTTGCACCATCAAACCTCTGGGATTTCACTCACCAACCATCGATGGCAACAAAAATCCCATGGTGCACCTCTTCCAGTGATGGCATCTCCCCCCGCTGCGCCAAGCGCGCTTTGATCGTCATCTCCTGCGGCCGTCGGCGGCCCAGCAGGACGTCCTCGCCCTGGGCGTTGGCCAACCACTCGCCGTAGACGTCGTTGAGGCCGCTGGAGGGGTTGCGGGTAAAGGCCACCTGGGGATGGTGGAAAAATGCTGGGAAAATGAAGGGAAACCTGGGGATTTGATGAGGATTTCATTGGATTTATTTGGGTTTCATGGGATGTCCTGGTGATCTAACTGAGAATATCATGGGGAAACTTGATGATGATTTAACTGGGACACCCGGGCGAATGGTGGTTTAATTGGAAAAACATGGGAATATGATGCCAATATAAATAAGGTTTCGGGTACCCTCTGGTGATTTGTTCCAGTTTGCAAACTGGAAGCCATGGCCCAGAAATACAAATGAGTTACCTATCAAAAGATGTTCTTTTTCATAGTTGTATTGCCAGAGGGTGGTTGCACATTACGGAAAACCTGGAGATGCTTTCGGAAAATATGAAAACGCATCTTAACAAGATGTTTCTAAGTTTCATGCCATGTTTTTTCGCACCAAATCAGGATGATTCGTAAGCTTAGAAAGGAATCGCAATTAGGGGATGGTTGGCATGGTTGCGGTAGTTCGCACAGAAAATCTGAAAATCATTTTGGAACGATATCTAAGATATTCCTATACACTCATGTATATATAATATATATATATATATACGTATTTATATTCCACCTTTTTGGGTATGGCCTGATCTTTCCTGTATTGATAGTAGCTGGTTGGTAGATTTTCCCATCTTGGGGCGATCTGGACATGATGTACTCCCTGGTAGTGAGTCACGTGGCTGGTGGATTTTCCAGCAGACCATGCGACTGGCTACCAGAGGGTACTAGCCATGGTTCATTGATGCTTTCATTTCTGGTTAAATCATGTCAATGCCCATTGTTCACACGTGATTTACACATTCTACATCGGTGATTACTGCAGGGTATCCCCAAACTATCCCAAACCTAATCAAAGGATGGTGTCATCGATCCCGGCATTTCTTCAAGACGGGAAAGGGATGGAAACCGGGGAGTGTACCATTGAGTTGGGGATGTAGTTGCCCACGATCTTTCAGAAGCACTACATGAATCGATTGCATACCTATCTTGGGGGATGGACATCAATTCGTTAATAGGGATCGAACAGCCCAGTAGGATCTATGACCAGAAACCACAAAAACCATAAACATCCATATGCCATGTTTTGACCGCAGCACATATCATGTCGTATTTCTATGACATACGTCCATGGTCTTTGTTCATCTAGATATATCATTATATCATGATATACCCTCCAGTAATCAAACATGAAGAATGGAAAACCCATCGTTTATGGTTGATTACAGTTGCTTTCCCGGCTGGAAACCTCCACCGCCACAGGTAGGTTCACGTCTCAATTTTCATCATTTTCCTTGATTCAGATCCCATCCCTCAACAAATTTCCCACCATTTCAGAACTTCTCACAGTATCCCATTTATACAAACCTTCCCATCTCCCCAGCTCATCCCCTAACTTTCTACCAAGAGACCCCAGTGGCACAATCCTTCCCCAAATTTCCAAAGACCATGGCCTGCACATTGACGGCGGTTCCCCAGCTCTCAGGCATGCCGTGAAGCTGTCGATAGGTCTTGGCCCTTGGGTTCATCCAGGAGTTGAACACGGCGCCTCAGTGCAATCCGAGGCGGAGTGGAGGAACCTAAAGATATTTTAAAGGGAAAATCAATGGATCCCACGGGTATCATATACCCTCTGGTAAACTAACATAACTATCGAAAACCACCATTTTTCATGGGAAAATTCACTACCAGTAGTACCCGCACGAGGCGGGGCGGAAGTTGCCTCAAAGATATATATAAGACCTTTCTCATCTATAGAACTTGCATGCGCCGTGCGCCAGCCAAGCCCGTGCGTGCGTGCACTCTGCGAAACTGATGTCGTGTTTCACATGTCACACTTGAAGCCCCACGTCACACTTCACACTTGACAGTCTTCACACTTCACACCGCACCCTTCGCAGTCAACACTTCACACTTCTCAGTTCACACTGCACTCTCCCCAATCCACACTTCACACTCCACACTTCACACTTCACAGTCCACACTTCACACTTCTCACTTCTCATTGCTTTCTTCACACTCCACACTTCACACTTCACACTGCACTCTTCACGCCCCACACTTCACACTCTTCACACTCCACACTTCATCTCATCTGAGCTCTTCTCACCTTATCCCAGCTCATCTCTTCTCATCTCATCTCTTCTCATATGTCACCTAAGCTTTCATGAATCACTTCCCAGTACTACTACTAAGGAACTTGCATGCGCCGTGCGCCAGCCAGGCCCGTGCGTGCGTGCTTTGTGCGAAGCTGTTGCAGTGTTGCTGTCCAAGAACATGAGCTGCGCGCGACCCCGGTAGAATGCAAACACTTTCCTCACACTTCACATTGCACCAAAATTGAGAAAATCTGCTGACAAATCACTTTCGCAGCCTTGATGCAGCCATTCCAATACGATTTACGATCTTCAGCTGCAAAAGACAATAGTATTACGCATGCAGCCGCTGCACCAAGCAACCTTGACGCAGCCACTACAATGCGATCTGCAGAGACTGAGTTGCAAAACACAATAGAACTACGTGCAATGGCGTCGGAAATTGCAGCTCCAAAACCGGGATCTCGACGCCAAAGCGACAAAAAGACGATTTTGAAGCACTTTTTAAAAGGAATTTTAAAAGGAAAATTATTAGCGCCAAAATTGAGAAAATCTGCTGACAAATGACTATCGCAGCCTGGATGCAGCCACTCCAATACGATTTACAATCTTCAGCTGCAAAAGACAATAGTATTACGCATGCAGCCGCTGCACCAAGCAACCTTGACGCAGCCACTACAATGCGATCTGCAGAGACTGAGTTGCGAAACACAATAGAACTACGTGCAATGGCGTCGGAAATTGCAGCTCCAAAACCAGATCTCGACGCCAAAGCGACAAAAAGACGATTTTGAAGCACTTTTTAAACGGAATTTTAAAAGGAAAATTATTAGCGCCAAAATTGAGAAAATCTGCTGACAATTCACTTTCGCAGCCTTGATGCAGCCATTCCAATACGATTTACGATCTTCAGCTGCAAAAGACAATAGTATTACGCATGCAGCCGTAGCACCGAGCAACCTTGACGCAGCCACTACAATGCGTTTCGCAGCATCCCGTGGCAAACCTACACCTATCTACGCACGTGGCAACACCAAATGACAACAATCATGCAGCCATTCCAATGCGATCTGCAACCACAGCTCCAAGAACCGAATAGAACTACGCACACAGGAACAACCACTCGTTGCAAAACACATAGGAGGAACAATTCGCGCATGAAACGACCCCAGCCGCACCCGTCGCACACACGAGGTACCTTTCATCGCCGGCTGCAGCCACTTTACACGGAAAAACACGAGGTTTCGTGCTCCGGCTTCCTCCCCAAAACATAGCCCATGCAACATTCATGCAGCCATTACAATGCGTTTCGCAGCATCCCGTGGCAAACCTGCACGTGGCAACATCAAATGACGACAATCAAGCAGCCATTCCAATGCAATTTGCAACCAGAGATTCCGAACCGCATAGAACTACGCACACAGACACAACGACTCGTTGCAAAACACATAGGAGGAACAATTCGCGCACAAAACGACCGCAGCCGCACCCGTCGCACAGACGAGGTGCCTTTCATCGTCGGCTGCAGCCACTTTACACGGAAAAACACAAGGTTCGTGCTCCTCCGGCTTCCTCCCCAAAACATAGCCCATGCAACATTCACGCAGCCATTACAATGCGTTTCACAGCATCCCGTAGCAAACCTGCACCTATCTACGCACGTGGCAACATCAAATGACGACAATCAAGCAGCCATTCCAATGCAATCTGCAACCAGAGATTCAAAAACCTCATAGAACTACGCACACAGACACAACCACTCGTTGCAAAACACATAGGAGGAACAATTCGCGCATGAAACGACCGCAGCCGCACCCGCCGCACACACGAGGTACCTTTCATCGCCGGCTGCAGCCACTTTACACGGAAAAACACAAGGTTTCGTGCTCCGGCTTCCTCCCCAAAACATAGCCCATGCAACATTCATGCAGCCATTACAATGCGTTTCGCAGCATCCCGTGGCAAACCCGCACCTATCTACGCACGTGGCAACATCAAATGACGACAATGAAGCAGCCATTCCAATGCAATCTGCAACCAGAGATTCAAGAACCGCATAGAACTACGCACACAGACACAACCACTCGTTGCAAAACACATAGGAGGAAACAATTCGCGCACAAAACGACCGCAGCCGCACCCGTCGCACACACGAGGTACCTTTCATCGCCGGCTGCAGCCACTTTACACACGGAAAAACACAAGGTTTCGTGCTCCGGCTTCCTCCCCAAAACATAGCCCATGCAACATTCATGCAGCCATTACAAGGCGTTTCGCAGCATCCCGTGGCAAACCCGCACCTATCTACGCACGTGGCAACATCAAATGACGACAATGAAGCAGCCATTCCAATGCAATCTGCAACCAGAGATTCAAGAACCGCATAGAACTACGCACACAGACACAACCACTCGTTGCAAAACACATAGGAGGAACAATTCGCGCACAAAACGACCGCAGCCGCACCCGTCGCACAAACGAGGTACCTTTCATCGCCAGCTGCAGCCACTTTACACGGAAAAACGCAAGGTTTCGTGCTCCGGCTTCCTCCCCACAACATAGCCCATGCAACATTCATGCAGCCACTCCAATAAGATCTGCAACCACAACTTCAAGAAACGCATAGAACTACACACACAGGAACCATCATTGTTGCAAAACACATAGAAGGAACCAAACGACCGCAGCCGCAACCGCCGCACACACGAGGTACCTTTCATCGCCGGCTGCAGCCACTTTACACGGAAAAACACAAGGTTTCGTGCTCCGGCTTCCTCCCCAACTCACCACTTCCCTTCCTCACCGCTTCCCATCGTCACCCCTTCCCATCGTCACCACCTCCCTTCGTCCACTTCCCTTCCTCACTACTTCCCTTCCTCACCACTTCCCATCGTCCCCACCTCCCTTCCTCACCATTCCCCTTCATCATCACCTCCCTTCGTCACCACTTCCCTTCGTCACCACTTCCCTTCGTCACCACTTCCCTTCGTCACCACTTCCCTTCGTCACCACTTCCTTTCGTCGTCACTTCCCTTCGTCACCACTTCCCTTCGTCACCACTTCCCTTCGTCACCACTTCCCTTCGTCACCACCCGTCATTATCACCACCCTTCATCAAAGTCAATTCCACTGCTTCTTATTCTTTTGTTATGTATTGTTATGTTATGTATTGTTATGTGATCTACCACCCTTCATCAAAGTAAGTTCTTTCCTGCTGTATTGTCATGTAGTGTAAAGTCTCACACCACCCTTCATCAAAGTCAGTTCTTCACTCATGTATTGTTATGTACTGTAAAGTCTCACAACCACCCTTCATCAAAGTAAGTTCTTTCCTGATGTATTGTCATGTAATGCAAAGGCTCACACCACCCTTCATCAAGGTCAAGTCTCACTCGCGCACCACCCTTCATCATAGTCAATTCCATCAAGTCTCACGCGCGCACCACCCTTCATCATAGTCAATTCCATCAAGTCTCACTCGCGCACCACCCTTCATCATAGTCAATTCCATCAAGTAAAAGTCATTCGTAACTCGGAAGTATTGCTTCCCAACTTCCTTTGATAAATGGTGATTTTCCATAGTTATGTTAAATTAAATTACCAGAGGGTAACGTATAAAATTAATCAAATGACCCAACCTTGGGAGATGATCTTTCGGGATTTGCGGGGATCATAAATCATCCAAGATGAGGAATGGGATGTGGTTCACCAACTTCTATTAGTGGGAAGCTCATAAAACACCATAGATACCACCAGGGCCTATCAATCAAATTGATTCAAAATTTCCAATCAGATTGATTGTATACCTAGGGCCTAGGGATAACAGAAGAATACTATAAGGAACTCCAATATTTTGAGAATGAAGAAATAGACAAAATTGAGGGATGATGAGCCGATTTTGGGGGATATGAGCCGCTACCGTTCTCATCCAATATTGGGGATGTAACCAACAATATGGGAATAAAGACAAATCTCGGATATCGGTTATCCGTTTATCATTGTTATCATTCTGGGGAGAATATGGGTGGATACTTATCATGTGGATGCACCGTCTTTTTTAGCTAATAAACAGGAAATTAACATTGTAATGCAGGCGCCGTTGATTTTCCACACTCTTGCCAGGAAATACAAAAAATGTTGTAATTTCTCTTTAAACCAAGTCTGGGACACAACATAAGGGATAATGACATATGGTGATTTGGGGGTATAGTCCAACGAACGTCACATAAAAAATCAACTGATGATCAACAAGTTCGCTACTTACCAGATAAAAATGGGGAGTTATCAAACAGTTGATGGGACAAATGACTCTTTGATATGTGCAAAAGCTAGCACACATGAGGGCGACTTTTTTGGCCATTGCTGATCGGCCTTGGAATGATTCAACCCCTGCGGTGGGTGAGTTTTGGTCTGGTCATTTTACGAGAGTTGGAGAATTTCTCCTGAAAAAGCACCGGCCATCTGTGGTCCCCACATTGACCCTCCCCATCCCACAACAGGCAGGAAACCGATGGCTCCCCACAGTTGCTCTTCAGGATCTTCAGGGAAGGGGACGCCCAGTTCCAAGTGCACTGCCGTTTTGTAGTCAGAAACCAACTGCTCTAAATCTTCTGGAAGCAACTCGTGGTCATCTGTCACCTTTGATGTTGATGGCAGGAGTGGCAACCCCAGCAACGCAGAGAGAATGCCGCACAGTTGAGATTTATCTAAAAGTGCAAGCGCTAGTCTCTGCAATTTTATTAATGAGATGTTTTCCATAAATGTCCATACGAAACCCACAGATTTTCCCCGTTTTCCATCCATTTTCCATCCATTTTCCATCCATTTTCCCATCCATCTCCCGCCTCCCGTCGTTGCTTGGCGCGTTCCATGACTTTTTCGAAGCGCCGCCGCAGCTCCGGGCGCTTTGTCAGCACCGTCACGGCGTAGGTCTGCACGAAGCGACGGTAGCTGTCGAAGGCGAAACGTCGGTCGCCCGTTTCCTGCGCCAAGGCCTCGACGGTCTGGTCCTGGGTGGCTGGGCTGGGCTGGGTGGGTACCAAGGTGTCAACGCAACCATGGGAAAATGGTGATTTTATATGATTTCATCATGAAAAATTGGGATTTCATGGGGGTTATAACATGTTACCAGTAGTACCCACACGAGGCGGGGCGGAAGTTGCCTTAAAGATATATATAAGACCTTTCTCATCTATAGAACTTGCATGCGCCGTGCGCCAGCCAAGCCCGTGCTTGCGTGCACTCTGCGAAAGTGGTGTCTTGTTTCACATGTCACATGTGAAGCTCCACTTCGCACTTCGCACTTCGCACTTCTCACTGCAGTCTTCACGCTCCACACTGCACACTTCACACTCCACCCTTCACACTGCACTCTTCACACTGCACCCTTCGCAGTCAACACTTCACTTCACACTGTACTCTTAAGACTCCACACTTCACACTTCACACTCCACACTTCACACTGCACTCTTCGCACTCCAAATTTCACACTTCAGTCCACACTTCACACTTCTCACTTCTCACTGCTTCCTTCACACTCCAAACTTCACACTTCACACTTCACACTGCACTCTTCACACCCCACACTTCATCTCATCTGAGCTCTTCGCACCTTATCCCAGCTCAGCTCTTCTCATCTCATCTCTTCTCATATGTCATCTAAGCTTTCATGAATGACTTCCCAATACTACTAGAAAGGAACTTGCATGCGCAGTGCGCCAGCCAGGCCTGTGCGTGCGTGCTTTGTGCGAAGCTGTTGCAATGTTGTTGTCCAAGAACATGACCTGCACGCGTCCCCGGTACAATGCAAACACTTTTCCTCACACTTCACATTGCACTCTTCACACCCCACACTCCACACTTCACACTTGCACTTCATCTCAACTCATCTCATCTGAGCTCTTCTCATCTCATCCCATGCCTTCCCATATGTCAGCTAAGTTCTTCTTGGCTATTTTTATGTCAAGTACTTCCCAGTACTGATGTCTAATACAAAAGCTTGCAAAAACCACTTCCCAGTACTACTTTGTACTACATAGCTTGCGCAAAACACTCCCCAGTACTACTTTGTACTACAAAGCTTGCACAAACTACTTAGTACTACTTTGTACTACAAAGCTTGCACAAACTACTTCCCAGTACTACTTTGCACTACAAAGCTTGCACAAAGCACTCCCCAGTACTACTTTGTACTACAAAGCTTGCACAAACTACTTCCCAGTACTACTTTGTACTACAAAGCTTGCACAAAACACGTTCCAGTACTACTTTGTACTACAAAGCTTCTACACACATCAAGTTCTTTCGCAGAGAAGCTTTTACACACAGCAAGCTTTTCAAGCAGAGAAGCTTTTACACACAGATTCTTTTACACACAACAAGCTTCTTCACAGAGAAGCTTTCACACACAGCAAGCGTTTACACACAGAACACTTACACACAGTGCTTTTACACATGGCAAGCGTTTACACACAGAAACTTTTGCACAGAGACGCTTTTACACACAGAGAGGCTTTTACACACAGCAAGCTTTTAGACACAAAATCTTTTTCACACAGCAAGCTTTCAAACACAGCAAGCGTTTACACACAGAACACTTACACACAGTGCTTTTACACATGGCAAGCGTTTACACACACAGCAAGCTTTTTAAACAGAGAAGCTTTTACACACAACAAGCTTTTACACAGAGAAGCTTTTACACACAGCAAGCTTTCACACACAGCAAGCGTTTACACACAGAACACTTACGCACAGTGCTTTTACACATGGCAAGCGTTTACACACACAGAAACTTTTACACAGAGACGCTTTTACACACAGAGAAACTTTTACAGCAAGCTTTTACA